GGGCGGCTGGAGAGCGCGGCGCGCAGGCGCCTGGCGGCCAACGCGCGCGAGCGCCGCCGCATGCAGGGGCTCAACACGGCGTTCGACCGCCTGCGCAGGGTGGTGCCGCAGTGGGGCCAGGACAAAAAGCTGTCCAAGTACGAGACGCTGCAGATGGCGCTGAGCTACATCGTGGCCCTGACGCGCATCCTGGCGGAGGCCGAGCGCTTCGGCTCGGAGCGGGACTGGGCCGGCCTGCGCTGCGAGCCCTTCGGCCTCGAGCCCTGCCTGCCGTTCGCGGGCGCCGTGCTGCCGGCCGAGAGCGAGCCCTGCGGCCCGCGGCTCCTGGGCTTCCCGCCCGAGCCCTTCCAGACGCCCAGCTAGGGCGCGGGCCGGGCGCTCCGGGGGCTCCGCCGCGTCCCAGGCCCGGGTCGGTCTCTTGCCGCGCCCCCCGCCCGAGTCTGCAGATTTCACAGATGAAGCCCGGAGTGGCGCTGGCCGTGGGAGCAGCGTTTGCTGGACTACTTCCCGGAAAGCACGCGTCCGGGGGCGGGAAGTGTGATTAGGTCCTACTGCAGTTTCAGTCCTCGGAGAAGTAATCAGCTTCTTAAACTGCGCGAGACTGTCCTGTTTCGGTGGGGTTGCCTGAGGCGTTGCTTGTGGTGCTCGAAACAGACCTTCCCGATGCCTGCCTGCGTGTATCCGGAGCGTACTGCGCGTGCATGCATTAAGTAGAAGCAGAATTTTCTTGCTAGCATACACGGGCATGAATGCTTTGTATTTTTGAAACCGTGTACACGTTATTAAAATATAGATTTTGTAAAATATAAACAACGTGAGTTTGTTTTTCATGCCAAGTCCCTGCCCGTTTGCTGATGGCACCGAAGGCCAAAGATTGGGAATGCTTAAATCTAATTCCACCAGCCAGCAAATTGCTGCCTGTAACGGTCAAAGTGAGTACAGATCATTGATTGGAAAGCTTTCTTTTTCAACTTGGAAATGTGTATTTTTGGTAACTAAGAACATGTGAGATTCCGAATATTTAGCTTTAACAGGAAATAGAATTACTCAATATTTTATTTTCCTTAGTAAACCAACTAATAAATTCCTTTCAAGTATCTAAAGGAAATGTAGATAGTAACCATGTACATCATACAGATACACCTACATATGTATACACACGGATGTCTGTAATGGACACTGGGAGAAATAAAAGCTTTGTGAATGTGATTTCCTTTTAATCCATACGAATTGAGCAATAAAGTCTACCATCATGGCTAGTCAAAACAGGAGCAAAATAATCAATGTGGTTTGGTTTTGAATTACTATTATAAATTTGCTTAACCCTTACATGAATAAACCCATCACTAATGTGAAGAATGATTTGGTCTCCGGCACCGCCTGCATGTGGGGACTGTCTTGCTCACAAGTAGGAAAAGCAGGGCTCTAATAACTTATCTATGCATTTGGGATTTGTCACAAGATCCTCCAAATTCTTTTATTACGGATTACAAAGCATAATGTCATCTACAATTGCAATTGATCTACAGAGGGTCTCCATCGAAATTTTCTTCTTTTTTTTTTTCTTTTTGAGACAGGGTCTCACTATGCAGTTCAGTCTGGTCTTGAACTCACTTGGTAGCCCAGGCTGGCCAATGATCCTCCTGCCTCAGCCTCCTGAGTGCTGGGATTACAGGCATGCCCCACCATGCCCACTTCAAAATTATTTTCTTAGTTATAACCAATTATTAAAATTCACTTAGCTAAAAAAATTCACTTAGCTCATAATGCAGGAAACTGCCTTAAACTTTCAAAATTATACTGTCTGTTAAACCAAGGAAGGCTCAGGACTTTGCTTCTTCACTGCAAATGAGAAAGTGAAATATTTGCCTTCTTGACTCCAGCAACTCTGAGAGGATGAGATGCACGGCAGACAGCAGCACAGCTCCGGCAGCCACGACCGAGGAACTCCGAACAGCCACCTTTCACTCTGCGGAGTGTGCTGGAGCCGATGGCAGGATTCTAGGCAGTGGCCTTACTTACTATCTGGGCACATTAGTTTACTTTTTTTAGGCCGCCTAAAAAGCTTCATTAAAAATCCCCATATGGCTGAGCGTGGTGGGGCACACAGTAGGCCTGGTGCTCTCAAAGTAGGCGTAGAGTGCTGAGGCTGGAGGATCCAGATGAGTCTGAGGCCACCCTGGGCTACATGGTGAGACTGGACTACACAGGGAGACACTGTCTCCTCCCCTCCCCCGTCCTTGTATGTTTGTAGGGTTTGAGAAGGAATAAAAGTGCTAGCAAATGCATCTTTCTTGGAGAAGCTGTCTTAGTCATTTTTCAGGCAGGGTATCTCGTCTCCCTCTCTCAGCTGTAAACACAGTGTGAAGGGACTGTGCTCTTCATTGTCCCCCTGAGCGTTCTAGTACAGGGCCTTGCATGGGAAAATCCACTCAGAAATATTTCTTTTTTTAGCTATGAATTATAATAACACTTTCTTAATGAAATAAAACAATTTAATTACAGTAATGGAGTTCTAATCTCATACTCTTCTTCCCTGACCTCACTTTTGAAAAAGAGTGAAAATCTGTTTCTGAAATACTGAGACTTAAACAGCCTGTTTCTGCCTTTTGGAAATTTCTAGAAGTAGTTTAGCTCTTAGCAAATTCCTGAGCTTTCCACCCCAGTCAAGGTACTACTTCCCCCTCTTTGAGAAGACATTGAGGAAAAAGGAAATGACTAAATTCAGTGCTTGATAAAGTATTGTGATTTATGAATTAGGAGCTCAGAAGACGCAAGTGTAAAATTACTTGAAGATTCCCATTACTTTACGTCACAGTTTACATTACCAAGTGACTCAAAGTTTGCAGCATTTATGCTGCTCTTGTACCTGGGCTCGCTTTTCTCAACGCGTATTATCAGGCACCGCTGGACCCAGAGGTGCACTTCACCCTTATCCTTCGCTGGGCAGCCAGAGAAAACGCAAGCCCTCAGGCGGCGCGTCCCACGCGGTGCGGGAACCCTTCGCAGTGCAGTAGGTACCAGTGCTAGCCCTGAGCGGGGGCATTCAGTTGCAAAGGGAGACTCGCCCGGCAGGGTTTCAGGTCGCCTGCTGCTCTATGTGGGCTTTCTCTCCATGCCAGCTAGAGGTCGAGGTTCCAGACCCCAAGGTCGCAAGCCTTGAGGAACTGTGTGCAAGCCACGGGCCATCAAGATGGGAAGAGCCGCCCAAGCCAGTGCACTCAGTCCAAACTGCTCCTCAGAATCCCACCTGGGGAGTCTCCGCGCAGAACCCGGGAATCGAACTCAGGACCTTGGCGCTTGCCAGGCAGGCCCTTAACCCCTCCCCCTAGATGAGTCTAATTGGCTGCCAAGTTTGAAAACCCGATTAATTAAACAATACCTATGGTGACGCCATCCACCTCATTACTCAGAGCCCGCTTTGCGGACTGCCTGTTTGCATTTGTAGATCTTTCTTTCTTTTTTGGGGGGCGGGGGGCGTACCAGGAATCGAAGTCACTACCTTGCGCTTGCCGGCCAGGCGCTGTGCCGCTGAGCTGAATAAATCCCCAGCCCCACATTTGTAGATCTTAAGGACTCTCCAGGCTATCTTCCTTTTCTTCTACCTTCTCTCCTCTGTGCCCCTCCCCCTCTTCCTTTTTTTTCCTTTTTATGGCACTAGAGGATGGAACTCAGGCCTTCATACTGACCTACATCCCCAGGTCCCCTTTTTAAAATTTTTAGATTTTGACACAAGGTCTTGCTGTTTTGCTAAATTGCCCACGCTGGCCTTGAACTCATGATCCTGGTTTCAGCCTCCCAGAGTGCTGGGCTTATAGGCATGCGTCTCATGCCTGGCTACCTATGCAGCCAATATCTTAAGTAATGAGGTGACCTTTCTATTAGTGAAGATCTAAGCTTTTCTCTAGATATGAATCAGTTTGTGTGTATTTGGGTTGTGTTAGTAGGGCTGCAGGATTTAATAATTAAAGCTCAGTTCACTGCAAGTTTGTCATATTACAGTGAAAGTGAAGTGCTATTTTGGGCTGAATTTGGCTAGAGTTGGTTCCCTGCCTACACATCACTGAAGATTCCTTCTTTCTTTTTTTTGAGATGGGGGTTTCGCTATGTAGTACAGGATGGCCTTGAACTCAGGGCGATCCGCCCGCCTCAGCCTCCCAAGTGCTACGATTACAGGTGTGCTAAAGAGTCCTCTTTTCATGTCTGGGTGAAGAGGTTTCAAAGTCCTTATGAAGCCATAAATATATGGTGTATCTTGAGCATAAATATATGATGATATCTCTTGTCATATTTATGTATTCCCTTTCTTCTCTTTTTTTTTTTTTTTTCTTTTTCGTTTTCAGTACTGGGGATTGAACCCAAGGCCTTTACACTTGGTTCCATCCCCAGCCCTTTTTTTTACTATATTTTTTTATTTTGAGACAGGGTCCTGCTAAATCACTAAGTTGCCCAGGTTGGGCTCAAGCTTGGGATCCTTCTGATTCAGCCTCCCAGAGTGCTGGGAAGCCTGGCTCTTTTTTGAATATAGAGGGGGTACAAACTTTAAGAAGTATTTTACTGAATTGACAATGGATTTGGGATTGTTATTTCAAATTGGTAATGTATCCCAAAATACCTAAGCTGGGGGAAAAAAAAAAAAAAAACACACACACCTAACAGCAAACAACAACAAAATCCCTGCTACTGGAGCTGGACCCAACACGTGCGTCTGCACAGCATTCCCATGCTTAGGCGGCAGAGGTGCAAGGATCACATGCGCAGGAGCTCCAGGCCATCCTGAGCGGCACAGCGAGACCCAAGACCTCATATAAAAACAAAAGCCAAAAGCCAAAAGCCACCCCCCCAAAAAACCAAAACCCAAAACAAAAAACTACTGGGCAGCCAAAGCATACCCTTCTCACATACTACCTACGTATATTGTTCACATTTTCATATTTTCTGTGCATTATCATGCTCTATTTTTAAAGTATTTATTTATTGGTACTGTGGATTGCCCCCAGGACCTTTGAGTTGAGCTACGTGCCAATCCCTCTTTATTTTTATTCTGAGACAGAGAGGCTAAATTTCCCAGGCTGGGCTTGCGTGTGCAGTCTTCGTGCCTCCTCCCCCCAGTGTGCTAGGATTTTAGGTGTGTGCCATCAGGCCTAGCTCTATTATGGTGCTTTAGCATTTTAGCATGTTTTTCTGACTGGGGAGAGACTGCCCTTCTCGGGGCCAGGCAACCTTTCTTTGCTTTTGATACAGAAACCTGGACGCAGCAGGCCAGAGCAAGACCTTTAACTCCCATTAGCCCATCCAGTCCTGCCTAGCCTCGCCCACAGGAAGTCCAGTAAAGGTCCCTCGGGCTGGGGATGTGGACCAAGAGTGTGTGCTTAGCATGCCCGAGGCCCTGGGTTCGAGTCGCAGCAACCACACAAAGGCTAAGGGGTAAAGCAAACTTGGCTTTCCGGGGCCACTTCTGAGCCTCCTTTCGCGGTCATATCTGGCTGACTGCATCACGGAGCAGAGACCACTAAACCCGGAACAAGACAAAACAATCCACAGTTCATTAAAAATAAATACGATTTTATTCAGTGAATAAAGAGTCCATTTACTCCTTAACCCAAGTTAAATAAAATACGGATGCTTAACTCCTGTTTTCTTCAAATCACCCCTCCTAACCGAACGCAGCCTCACCAAGTCTTTAAGAAAGGGCGTCTAGGAACACAGGAGTGCTGGGGACTTGGTCCCGCGAACGTAGCCGCGCACCCGCGGGAGCCACAGGCACGCGCACAGACGCTGCGGCTTAAGCGGTGTCTCGGCATTCAGCG